ACTAAGAGAAAATGGCTACGGCCAGAAAAAATCTTCTAAAAAGACAACAGGAGAAACATGGAACATTCCTTTTATGAGGAAAAATGAACTCTGAGAATGGTTGTTTGGAGAGGTCTCTCTTGAATGGAAGCTGGGCTGGCCTAGGCCAAGTCCCTCCTGATGCCTCAGTGACAGCAATGCTACCAGCCCACCTCCAGACAAGGCAAACTATAATGTCACAACTGCCTCAATCCTGGCTCATTTCTTTCTGACCAAAACCATGCACAACCAGTAATCTACGGTATGCTTATGTCTAACCCAAGAAGGTAGCTGAAAGCTCTGCTAACACAGGCAACACTGACAGGTGACTGCAGTTTTAGCCCATTTCACAGATGAGGCAACAGAGGCATAAAGAATTTAAGTTACTTCCACAGGTGGTGAGACATGAGTGAGGGCCTGAGTCCATGGCTGACGACTCAGGATTTGGCTCTTCCCACAGACCCCCCCATCTCATTATGGTGAAGGGGTTATGATTCACTGTCAGCAGTGAAAGTGCTTATTACATAGTAAGAACTCAATAAACGCTATTTTCACCCCCTCTACTTAGCAAAAATGGGCATAAGCGAGTGTAACAAATAAACCTATTTTAATTTTTCGTTGTTCAGTAGCTCAGTGTGAGTCAGACATGTAATGAGGTTGTGATCTTAGGTGACCTCACTACCAGTTCTGGATGGAGAGAGGCAGCTGCAGCTGCCCCACCACAAGTCAGAGAGATCACTGCTCTGCAGAGAGGCCACCAAGAGACAGCCTGTCAGAGAGGATAATGAAGGAGGCCACGCTAGGCAAGAGTGGGCTGATGAGGGCTGTGAAACAACACGTGCCTGCCATTATAAGGCTCCAGATGGGGCCCACCATGGCACGGTTTACAGAAGTGGGGTTCAGACACACTTAAATATGCTTCTCATGGAAGCCTAATCAAACTAGAGTTCCCTGAGGTTCCACCCATAGACTGATTCCTTTTTATAGGTTATTGCTTTCATTAATAACTACCTCCAAGTTTTACCTATGACCCACCAATAACCAGTCACGAGTCCTGATTCTGTAGTTTGGTATAAAGAATTGGACAACAGGAAAGTTTCTGTAAGTGGAAGAAAGGAGGTTTGGATTCTAGTTTTAAGTCTGCCTCTACTCCTGCTGCCTGGGATCTGTGCACCTCGGTGTATTTACCATGGTGTCAATAATACCACTTAACTCTGAAGACAGCAAATGGTGGAGTTCAATCTCAGAGCCAAGCTTTATGACCAAGATGCATTTTTCTCTCTTCTTACAATTTTTTACCTAATCAATTTTTACCTTTATTTATCAAAGTGTGTGTTTGCAAGTATGCCACAGTAGAGGTGAGAGAACCATTCACTGGAGTCGGCTCCCTTCTTCATCACATTATTTCTGGGGGTTGAGCTGAGGTCTGCAGCCTTGGCAGCAAGCACCTTTACTTGCTTGGCCATATTGCAGATCCTAAACTTTATTTAAAATTCTTTTACGGACCTAATTTATTTCTTAACTTATGGGTATGCCACATGTCTGTGGGAGCCTGCAGAGTCCAGAAGAGTGCACTGGATCAGCTGAAGCTGAATTATATAGAATAGATGTTTGTGAACCACCTGATGTGGGAACTGGAACTGAACTTGTTAACTGCTGAGCCATTTCTTCAGCAACAATCTTATTTTACTCTATCCTTATTTATTTATTTATTTATTTATTTATTTATTTATTTATTTATTTATTTATTTATTTATTTAGGCAAAGACTCATGAGGTAGCCCTGGCTGGCTTGGAACTTGTTACGTAGACCAGGCTGGCCTCCAACTCAGGGAGATCCACCTGTCTCCACCTCTAGACTGCTGAGATGAAAAGCATGTGCCACCATTTTTCACGTGCAGAGTAACAGGTTTCTCTCTGACATTTTCATGTACACTTATTTTTGCTTGTCTATCTTCCTGCACCCAAATTTTTGTCCTCCCAGTATCTTCCCTTTCACTTTTATCACATATTCTGTCTAGTCCCTTTCTCATATGGCTCATTTCTCCTGTATCATGGGCTCTTTCCAGTGAGCTGGGTTACCTCACTTATTTCCCAGGCCTGGGGTGGGGCCTGACCCTTTGCACCTTCTCATGGGTCTCCAGGAGCCACAAATGCTGCTGTCCCAGACAGCACTCTGAGAACCACTGCTTGAAAAGTGGCTTTAGATACAGAGTTTTGATAAATTTCAAGGGACAAGATGGACTGCCTGGTGAGCCAAAGCTGGACCACTGCCTTGGTCATGGAGTTGCTCATGCTCACGATAGGACGGGTGTCACCAGGTGACCCCAAGCCTCTTTCCGCTTATGACCAGTGACTCTACTTGGAAGGACATGTGCAAAGGAGAGCTGTTTCCATTTTTTTCTCTTTAATCCAAAGCGCAAATTCAATTTCAGATATAGTTCTAAACTTAAATGTAATACTTTTAGCAATTGCTTTTTAATTCCAGCCAAATTTCAAATACAGGTTGTGCCAGCAAACCATTACTGGGCAGTTCCGACAGTAGCGGGGAGACGGGTCTGCTAGAACACTGCTTTCTGTCCCAGGGGGTCACTACAGACCCACAGTCCAGAAAGAACGATGTGCAGCTCCTATACTCACAAACAAACAAAGGGAGCTGGAGAGATGGCCTGGTAGTTAAGATCATAGGCTGCTCTTCCAGAGGTCCAGGTTCTATTCTCAGCACCTACATGGAGAGTCACAGCTGTCTAAAACTCCAGGGGATCCTTGGGCACTGCATGCACATGGTACAGACATACATGGAGGCAAGGCACACATAAAAGTATTTTAAAAAATTAAAGACACAAGTTCATCTAAACGTCACACATGGTGATCATCTTCCTTGTATTTTAAACAATTCATGGGACAGAAAAAGGTGAGGGAAAACTGACCAGACCAAAAATAAGCCCTAAGATTTGTTTTGAAACAGTCATTGCCAGGGCTCATTATGATTGCTGCAATTGTTTTTGAAACACAGACTCACACCGCTAGCTGCTGACTAGACAGCTATACACAACATCCAAATGTGCTCCAGTGGTAAGCGTCTTTACCAGCTGAGCATCTCACCAGCTGTAAGTGTCCTTTTAATCTTCACGTGCTCTCTTAACCTGCGAGGCACACTGTGGCCAAGAGGGTGCTCAACACAATGAATGTGTATAAAACAAACAAAGAAAATTCTGTTGCTCTTCTGAAAAGCAAAACTGATTTTTTAATTACTCAGAAAAGAGGTATTTGGGAAAAGAGAGATGGATAATATGAAAGGCCAGGACAGAACATCTGGACCTCACAGCTGCTGAGCTGCCTCCTTCTTTAGCTTCTGGGGATTAAAAAGGAAGAGTGTAGGGCTGGGGAGAGAGCTTCCTCAGCAAATGGGTTGCCCTGCAAGCATCAGGAACTGAGTTCAAGTCTCAGAACTCATGTAAAAAACACTAAGTGTATGGCAATGCTTTGTAATCCCAGCAATGCGGAGGAGGAGACAGTAGTGGTCATGGATTCACTGGTCAGGAGGAGAATAAACAGCCAGCCCCAGGCTGGGGGAGGAGCAGCACTGGGCCGCTTTAATCCCAGCACTTGCAAGGCAGAGGCAGGAGGTGGAACTCTGAATTCAAGGCCAGCAGGCCTGCACACTGAGTTCCAGGCCAGCCAGGACTACATAGTCTCAAATCAAATTAAAACCAAAACAACAAAGAAAACCAACCAAATTGAAAAAAACCAACATGGGACCACAGGAGGAAGAACAGCATGGTAGATCCCTCTGGTCTCTATAAGCACACACACACTCATGCACATACATGTATACACACTATGTACACGTGCACAATACATGCACACATGTAATGTACACACACATACATACAAGTAAACCCACATGTGCACGAATTCCTGCGCTCACAAACTCAGACTAGAGAATGAGAAAGCATGCAGAAAACATAAAAGAGATGGCAGGTTTTCTAAAGCAGCAATTCTCCTCGCCTTCTACCATCCCCAGCCCTCAGGAAGCATACATCTTGTTGGAAGGGGATTTTGACATGAGCAGATTTTTGGACACCTGCAGTGCTACTGCTGGCTCAATTGTAAGTATTTAGTACCCACTTATTTATTCCTGACTAGACGCCTGCCTGGGACACAGAGAAAACCTGGCCAGAAGACAACCAGTACCAGAGCTGTCCTTCCCCCACCCAGGATAACCCAGAGTCTGAAGCAGAAGCCCTGCCGGGCCATCCTTCCTGGATCTCTCCCAGAGGTGTCCTGCTGGCTACAAGCTTTCCACTTCCCAGAGTTATGGTGACTGGGAGAGAGTGCTAAGTGTTTTCAAAGTATGAAGGGCCAGGTAGGAAAACCAGTGGCAAGCAGAAGGGTCCTCAGGTGAGGAACTCAGAGGGAGAAAGGATTACTCATGTTAGCTGATCTTACAGGGTGGTATATGATGTCACTTTTCTCTGTTCCACTGTGGAATCCCAAACGAACTGAGTATCCTGAATGTTCTGTGACCCCAGTGTCTGCTCTGGGGGAGTCAACAGAATGAGGGTGTCTCCCTTGAAGGTTGTCAGAAATGTGACTATGGATGGAGCCAGATGAATCACAGAGACAATACATGGAGACAAAAGGGAAACCAAGGGTACAGGTGCCAAAAGTGATTTCAAGTGTGAGTTGAGGTGAAATTCTCCCTCAGAAACTAGGAATTGTAGGAATTTATCACTTGCTGTGGGTAGAAAGCAATACAAGCTTTTAAGCTATATTTCATTTTGTACTTTTAAATATGTTAGAATGTGCACATGTTAGAACGTAGTAACTTAGGAAGGATTTTCAGTTCCAGAATGACACTGAGGGCCAGTTTTTATACATCAGTTTTTTTGTACTTGCCGGAATGTAGTCTCTGGAAGGATTTTCAGCCCTGGAACTGGCACCGTGGACCAGTTTTTTACACAAGGTTTTTGCACTCACCGGTATGTAGTTTCTGGAAGGAGGTCCTTTATCACACGTGTGGTAGTATTGCCCACAGTAATGCACGTGTCTCCGAGATCGATGTTGTAAGCAATGATTTCAGATCCATTATTGCACGGCTCTTCCCAGTTCAGTACAAGGCACACAGAGGGTGAGTCCAGGTGGGCATCGAGGGGCTCCTCCTCCAGGACACACAGCGAGGAGACAGGGTCGGGGGCAGAGGCAGGTGTCTGGCAATGGACAAGTTCGCTATACGGCCCTGCACCTGCTGGGTTAAAGGCCTGGGAAACACAAGAGTGTAGACAAGTCACATCACACCATCAGCACACGCCAGCACCTCCATGCTAGCAAGTGTTAACTTTTCTTGGTGTGTGTCTGTGCAGGCAGGCGCACATGTGTATGCATTTGCCTGTTGGGTCAGGGGTCATCCTTAAGTGGTCTCCACCTCCTCCCTGATGACTAGGGTGGCATGTGTACCCTCCTGCTCGTCAACACCTTGTAGGTTCCTCAGTCTCACTGCATTCCTCCTGGAAAACCCCATTGCATTTCCTGTCATCTTCCTTATCCTCCCAACTGTTAAGGTTGCATCCAGTGTTCCTGGGAACACCTGTGTCCCAGTCACCCATGTCCCACCTGTCAGAACAGTTGAGGTCACCCTAGCCCAAACCCCTTCTCTCTAGCTAATGTGAGAACCCTCTCTGGTATCTGCACTGGCCCTGCCCCCCCACCCCCCCAGTCTGTGCCCACAGTGATTAGAAAGGACATGATAACCCAGCAGCCAGGACTGACTTCGTTTTTAAATTTTATTTTTACTATGTGTATGTATCTGAGTATATGGCACATGTGTACAGGGGACAAACGTGGCCAGAGAAGGGAGTTGGATATCCTGGAGCTGCAGCTACAGGTGGCTGTGAGCAACCTGATTAAGGGTGCTGGGAATCGAACCTTGGGTTCTCTGGAAGAACAACAGGACTTTCAGCTTGAATCCTTTGATGGACTCCATCTTATTCAAAATAAAGATGGCAGCCCTTTATTACAGAAGCATCAAGATTCTACTTGAGGCTCGTTACTGCACGCCAAAAGCACCCATTAGTACTCGGACTTCATTATTCACTGTTCTTATTTTGACTGGCTCTGCCAATCTCTTTGATGGTCTCCACGACATCCACCTCAGGACCTGTGCCCTTGTGACTTCTTATGTCCAGAGGCCTTTCTCCCAGACCCTGTACGTCTTAGACCCTCTCTGCGGGCTCTTGTTGAGCATCCTATGTCATCATCACACTTATCACTAGACAGATGGAGCTTATTTATTTGCATGCCTGGTTCAATGTAACGCCTCTGACAACTCAACAGAACCTGATATGGAAGACATGTTCCGTAAGTGTTTTAAATTATCGTTCTCTTTCAAAGGCTACAATATTTGACAACTTTCTTATAACAATAAGAAGCCCAGGGCTGGAGAGATGGCTCTGGGGTTGAGTGTGGTGATAAGAGTACTGGGTGCTTTTCCAGAGGACCAAGGTTTGATGCCCAGCACTCATTCCGCCTGCAACTCTGGTTTCAGAAGATCAGACACCCTCCTGGCCTTTGCAGATACGTGGTACTGAATATTTGTGGTGCATTTACATACACACACAGGCAAACCACCTATATACATAAAAAAATAAAATAATTTTTTCAAAAGAAAAGGAAGTGATAAATCAGTTCTCACTTACTTGTAAGAGTGAAGCAGTACAAACTGCAAAACTTTGGAGACAAATTTGAATTTCTAAGGCCTAAAGCAAAGCTTACAGCTTCTTCCTTTGTTAATTAAACAACAAATAGAATTCTCCAAATGAAAGGCAGGCTAAGGATATTTGCCTGCATGAATCACCATGGAGGACGTAGGATGTTCTGAGACAGTATGGCCCTTTTGTTCAGGAATTTTAACTTGAGGACTGAACTTGAAGCCTTGTGCATGCCACAGAGTTTATTTAGATATAAATTTATCACAAAGATAGGAAAAATTAGGTGGGGGGGGGCAGCCAGGGACCTTCTCTGCAAAGGCTTTGTGTCACCGTGCAGCAGAAGGAAAGCAAGCTGACCCTTGAGTCAGAGTTCAGCTCAGATCTCCAGTCCCTCACTTAGTGGTCACAAGGGTTGGTAGCGTTGAGCCACTGAATGACTGTCCAGACAGTACTGGGGAAGTGGCGGTAAAGTCATATAGGCCAGCATTAGGCACCTTAGCTTCCAACTGGGAAAACCACAGACAGAATTGCAGTTCCTAGACCGTTTTTAAACTCTGGGCTAGCTCTGCACTCACAGGAGAGCTATAGGAAGACTAACTTTTGCACAGCTCTTACCATGCTTTTCCTCATACCTGTATTTCACATACTAGAGACTAATGACCAAAACCAGGCATCTGAGGCTGCATTTCCAGAGGACCTGTGTTCAATTGTCGGGGCCCATATGACAGCTCACAACCATCTGTAACTATAGTCCCTCTTCCAGCCTATGTGGGTACTGAATGCATGTGGTACACAGATAACCAACCATTCAGGCAAATACTCATGCACATGAAATAAAAACAAATAAATCTTTAAAAAAATTAAAAAGGAAAAAAAACACAGAAACTATCCTTGGTACAGTACTATTAACCACACTAGACCTAATTAAGTCTTAGAACATTCCCCAGCAATGTTCTTTTTCCATCTCAGGGTTCTGTCCACTGCTCTACTTCCCTTTGCAGGCTTGGCTGTATAAAAAACTCTTTCTTGGTTTATACACTTCTGATTCAAACTTTTCAAAGGAAACTTAAAAGCATCTTTTACTGAGCAATACTACGGCCATGATATATAAATGCCTCTTGGGAATATTTATTCTTGTGTGTGTGTGTGTGTGTGTGTGTGTGTGTGTGTGTGTATTGTCAGAGATGGTTGGGGATTGACTCAAGGCCTAAACAGTAGTTCTACCACTGACCAAGACACTTAATTAAAATATCCCCAAGGAACAAGACAAAAATTCCTGAGTAAAACAAGAAAGGTTTTAAACCACTTTTTGAAAACAGTAGAGTTATGAAAAACAATTTTTTGGAATGTCAAATATTCAAAAGAATATTCAGAGTTGGTAATGTCAAGAGGCTGGAATATGCAATTTCTATGTGGCCCACAGATACCAAGAAGTTAGTAAGGATGGAAGAAACTTGTTCCTGGTGGGATTTTTTCATCCCAGCAATAGTGGTATGACAAGTGTTGACCCTCCTGTCAAAGGGTCTGGTTCATTTCATGACAAACAGACATTTAAAAGCATTTTCTACCCATGGCTGCCAACACAAGGACATGGGGCTAGTATGCAAGTTCTATTCTGTTCTGATCACTTTAAGAAACAGTTTGGGGAAGCCAATACTGAGGGACAATGTGTATCCCATAAGAAAAAGGGAGGACATGTTAACATAACAGCTAAGCTCAAGAAGCACAGGGCATGGGGCTCTAACGGGACAGCAGACATCTCTGTATTAGAATCTGGTCCTGTTCCAATGTGGTACTCAGAGTACCCTTTTCCAGTGCCTTGGCCTCACTGACACAAAGACCAGATGATGTGCAATAGCACAGATTCATTGACAAGGGGCTAATGATGTAATGGGTGACCCATTCACACAGGAATGAAGGAATAAACACCCAACAAAGGTGCTTAATGAGAAATATTTAAGATGAAGCAGGCTTCCAAAGTCAAGAGAAAAAGCCCTGGTTGACCTGGATAACTAACTTAGAATGAGGTTATCTTCTATAACAAGGCTAGGGATGTTAAGCATACATCTACCATGCCATTTGCTGTAGGGCTGAACACAGGCTGACATGTAAGTCTGCCATCTTTGCTTCTCTCTCTACTGAAATCTAAGTGTGCTCAGAGACAGGCTGCCTCAAGGCTTGCAACTTCGGCTAATGAACCTTCTCTCTCTCCTAATCATTCTTCTACTCCAAAGAAAACAAGTGTTCAAAAACCATTGAATAAATAGAAAAATGGGAGCCTAAAGACTCCATAGTATTAGGGTACTGAGAGTCTGTAGAGGGGAAAACCCCAGGGAATAAAGTAAAGGAAATCTGTGACAATTCACATTCTTAGTGTCAGGCTATGAATCTTGGTTCCTGTGTTACTCTGTGCTCCCAGACACAAGCTTAAAGGTAAGCAGCCTTGTGTCTGGTCTCCTATGATGATCAACATAACAGACCCTACCTTACCTGGGCAATGTCCTCTGGGTATGTCTGTGGGGCCTGTCTAGATTTATGTTAATAAGTAGAGAGGGGCGGCCTGGGTGATGTTATCCCCTGGTGCTCTCCTAGACTGTATATGAGGAGAGGGAACTGAGCATCAGCGAGCATTCACCTCTCTGCTTTCTGACTAGAAGCCATTGTGATCAGCTGCTTCAAGGTCCCGAGGCCTCAACTCCCTGCCAAGCCACACCCACTGCACCTTTATACTGTGAGGCAGAATAAACCCCTTCTCCTTTACATCAGCAACAGGAAAGAAACTAAGGCAGAAGACTAGCCCAAATGACTGAAATACTCGTTTTAGGTTTACAGTCCAGCTTAACAGCTGGTATGTATATGAATTTCCTGTCTGTATGCCGGTTCTAAGCTGCTTTCCCACAGAGGTGGAATTCAAATGCACCTTTCTTAATGACTCAGGAGAGCTTCCCTTGTGGTCTAGGTCACATGTCCAGTGCACTGGAAAATAGTATGGAAGATACTGCTACTGAAGAGATGAGCAGAGAATCTGGTTTTGCTTTTACATGTTATAATCTCTTAGAAAAGATAAAATCAACTGTACAACATCAAAGCAAGCACCTGGTGTGTGTGTATAGAACTGTGTATATGTGCAGATGTGCCCACTCTGTGTGTGTGTGTGTGTGTGTGTGTGTGTGTGTGTACAGTTGTGTATATGTGCAGATGTGTCCACTCTCTGTGTGTGTACACACGGATGTCTAGGGCACAGGTCAACATCAGGTGTCCTTTACTCTGTTTTCCATCTTATTTGCTGAGATGAAGGCTTTCACTGAAAGAAGAAATCACTAGTTTGGCTACCGGTTGCCCCACAAGCTCTTTGGACCCATCTGTATCTAGCCTATCCACCCCCAATGCTGGGGTTACAGACTACCTAACTTTTACATGACTGTGGGGAGGTTATGTCCTCATGTCTGTGTGGTAAACACTGTTCCAAAGGAGACTTTTCCCAGTCCACAGAGGATCTTTATCCTTGTGATCCCTCCCCCATAGCCTTGGGCTCAGAATGCCTGTCTTTGGGAATGGTGTCTAAATATTCACCTACCTGTAGTCTGCAGCAATACTGTGCAGCAGGCAACAGGTCTTGTATCTCAAAGCAGGTGTCTGGACCATGGTAAACAAGTTCTAAGGATTCTTCATCTTCTCCCCATTCCAACCTGTACTCAGAGATGTCGGCACCAGGGCTCTCAGGGCTCTGCGGAACACATGTTTGTCATTAGTCATTTCACTGAGAAGAGGGTGACACACTCCAAGGTGGCCCAATACACCTAAAGAAAAGGGTGACACTTGGCTTCCTCTCAACTCTAACCACTTCCACAATTGGAAGTGATGCAACCGATTGTCAACTTAGTCTTTTGGGGTGAAGGAAGAAGCAACGGAAACTGATGGACAGCATGTACTCACTCACCTCCCAACCCACCAAGACGCATCCATCAGGCGTGAAGGAAATACACGGCGCTCTGCATTGCCCAGGGGGCCCGGTGGCGGTGGTGATTTCTGACACATCAGAATAGGGACCGTACTGAAAGAGAACATGTATGTTTGCATGTGAGGATGGTCTCTGCACGTTATGTGCATATACCGTCTTATAATTAAAGAAAAGCCAAGCAGTATAATTGATACAACTGAATAAAAGTATCGGCTAATGTTATTTTGTAATGGCAGCTGGAATCTGCCCTCCTTTTTGAGATAAGATCTTGCCATGCAGCTGAGGTTAGCCTTGAACCCATGATGCACCCGCCTGAATGCTGGGATTTATAGGTATGCCCATCATGCCCAAATAGTTACTTGTATTTTTGTTTTGAAGAGCAACACTGCTATAACATATTTTTGGAATGTCCTTGGTCTCACGTGCTCACGTGACATGTCTTTTCTTTGTATTGTCAACAGTCAACACATATTATCAATTGGTCTTTTTTCTTTTTAAATAAATTTCATCAATAATGAAATGCAACACTTTTCATGGAACTCATCTATACATAGTACTGAGGCTTTGGGAGCCTTTGGCATTAGCTTATTCTTTTACATTTCTGCTCATCTCTGATACTCTTTGTGGGCCACCTACCCCTCATTTCCAGCCTCCTGTGAGCCTCTTAAAATCTACATAACTCTACCACTTCAAAGAGAAAACCAACAATCCTTCTGTAGATCTAATGTAGACTTCTGACCCCCCAATACCAGATGAATGAGATTGCCAGGGGAAAAGACTTGCAAAGTTTTTAGAGGAATCAAAACAAACAAACAAACAAACAAAAAGCCAGAAAAACCCAAAAACAAACAAACAAACAACAAAACCCAGAACCAATAAGCTGCCTCCTCCTCAGGCCCGACCCCATTTGTCTAAAACTAAGTAACTTGCCGCATAGACAATATGTTATAATACTTTCTGGGCTATGTGTACAGTCATGCGTGTACAGTACATGTACATGTGTGTAGGTGTGGAAGACAGGAGACAACCTCTGTCTCCACTGTGTTTTCTAAGACAGGTCTGGACCTAAGTAGGCTAGGCTGGCTGGCCAGCAAGCCTCAGGGAGCCTCCTGTTTCTACCTTCCCAGTGCTGAGATTACAAGTTTGTTCCCACATTTCTAGCTTTTTAAGATGGAGGTTTTGGGCTCTAACTCAGTGTGTGCAAATGCTCTCCTGACTCAGTCTGCTCAATTCCCCTACAGAACTTTTACTAGGACTAATTCCTACAGCTGATAAAGTTGCTGAGAGAATGAGAAATTCTTTCTTTCATGAATTATTAAAACACACACACACACACACACACACACACACACAAAAACACACATGACACACAAAAAAATCTTCATGGAAAGAAACTATAGGAAATTGTGACAGCATTGCTTCTCAAACAGGATCTATATACAGTGTAGTGACCGTCAGCGTAGGACATACTCCTGAGAAACTTCAGGGGGCTGAAGAGGTACCTGTGCGCCAATTATAGGGGTGACCTCACACTCACCCCTCCATCATTCAGAGCCCGCACTCTGAAGCGATACACAGTTCCAGGAAGCAGGTTGCCGACAGTGCACTCCAGCTCAGGCCCGTGGTACACCTCTGAAGCTACGTCCTCAGGTTCTGTCATCTCTACACTGTACTCGGACACCTCACAGCCACTTTCAGATGCAGGGACATCTGAGGATGTAAAAATGTTTTCATCTTTGAGCATTTTTTTTTATTTCTTTTAATGTGTGTGTGTGTGCATGTGTGCGCATGTGTTTGGGCCTGCATTTATGAATATGTACCATGTGTAGAGGCCAGAGAGGGCAGTGAAACCTCTCAAACTCATGGTTGTGAGACACTGTGTGGGTTCTGAGAATGGAACCTGGGTCCTCTGCAATAGCAACAAGTGCTCTTAACCACAGAACCATCTCTTCAGCCTCAAGTTTGTAGCTTTCCAGTTGACTGAATTACATTTGATTTTCTAGCATTATTTTAAAAAAAAAAATGTAGGCAGTGTGTCTGTTGAGTTTCTACAAGAACAGCTTCCCAATCAAAACAGTGAAAAATCTCCTGAATGATCCAAACTATCAAAAGCAAATGCATTTAACCATGTTTGATAAGATAAACAGGAATCCAGGAATAACAGGAGCACTAGGCAAACCTTTACACTCAACAGAGAGAAGGGAGGGGAGGAGGGGAAAAAAAAACTTTAATGTCAGATGTCATGCTAAGTCTACATGACCCCAGATTGGCCTAATATTTTATTATACTCTAGACATAAGTGGTGACCAAATGTCTGCTGATGACACATTTACACTTGCAATGTGCACACTGGAAGCTGCGGGCACACTGGCAGCAGTGGAAGGCATGCCATGAAAATATCAGGACCTGCTACCAAGGAATTTGATGCTACTCTTTGAACCATTTCTTGGTTTGATCTCTAAATTTTGCATGTTTTCACATATTGAACAATCCTTGGAAAAGGCAGGCTAGTCAGCAATTTCCTCTAGAAACATGACCTCTGAAAGGTGAGTAGCAACAGCAGGTGCAGCACCCCAGAATGGAAGCAGGGGCAGAGGGGTGTGGAGTGAGGGGACCAAGGTGCCCAGGTTAAGGAGAACACAGTTATGCCAACAGGGTGGCACGGCTTTCGAAGGAAGCCCTGCAGCCAAGTGACAAGGCACTGTGCCTTTATCTCCTACTGTCCTGGTCAATGCCAACATAAAGATTCATTCACTCACCCCACTCTAAGTGGACTTCTTTGTGCTTTGGTCTACCCAAAACCCTCGGAGGTCGGCACTGACCTGGTGCAAGGCTTAGTGTGCGAACAGGGAGACTTTCAGAACACTGTGGGAGAAACACCGGAAAGACCATTGCTTAGTTACTGTGAATTGCTCACACCTCATCCACCAGGCTAATTCTATCCCACAACTGTAAATGGGACCAAAAGGGAATTACACACTAGATGTGTGGGCCTGTCAAGCATTAAGCTCTTCAGGAGGGTCCATACCTGTCTCGTGTGTTATGTGTGGGCACTCATTGCATACAATGCTGGTTATAACAAGAGCGACTCACTCTGACGTCAGATTACTAGGACAGAGTCTTGGTCACCCTAAGCATACTTATTTTCCTTTACATCAATTTTACAAAGACCCCTCATGAGAGTACAAGAGAACACAAAACAACAGCTAGATAAAATTAAGAAGGGTATCCTAAATGGCCAGCCAGCCCCCCCAAAAACGGCAGAGGACAGTCAAAGGGATCACTCGTCCACCAAGTCGGACTTTTACAGTAGTTCTGTAAATGCTAAAATAACTCTGCCTCCCTTTTGTGGGATCTCTGTGTGCGAGGCTGGTGATATGAAAGCTTACTATCTTACAAGAATGGAGGAGACAGAGTGGAGCCAGACAGCTCCAATTCCTTCCAGAGCAGTGGTGTATGGGAAACGGACCCTATGTCTTCAAGTAACACATATGCTGTCTGGAACTGCCCCTCACATGGGAGGTGCCACTGAGGTGTTATGGCTTTGGTCTGGATATACTCCAGTGGAGGCATTCTGCACAGCCCCAGCACTGTAGAAGAGTGTGCTAACTGGACTTTTATCCCCCTGAGGGGGGGGGGCGCTGTCTAGATTGGAACTCTAGATACCGTGGAACTCCTATGCTGTGCATGGGTTCTGTGTGTGTGTGTGTGTGTGTAAAATTCAGGAAAATGTTGGACAGGGCAAGCCTTATATTTAATAATCAATCTGTTACTGGGTGACTAGGTACCATTTGTCTCTCTTATCATTAATGGTTTCAAATTATCTACAGTGAAAACACTTTTATCACATGAATGTCAACTTTACACCCACACTCTTATTTCAAGAGTACTTTGCATGCATTTATTAGATTATATTGAACCTCTGAGCACTGTATGTGGTAGAAACTGAGTCTCCTGACATGCCACCTGGCTGATCTACAGTCATACATGGCTGCTGCCTGCAGACCTAGCCTGGGAATTACCCAACAGCAGAAGTGCCATTAGCTCCAGCATCAGATTTACGGTTCTTCCAATATTCTCCCAGCAGGTGGCAGTAAAGGACCTGCACAGCTGTGTTAACACACCAGCACAGCCGTGCAGGTCTTGATGCTACAGTCTACATTTTTCCCTCCTGGAAATGGCTGAGGTCTCCCTTATTTTGTTCATGCAAATCCTAACGAATTTCATCTATCTATCTATGAGATGTAACTATCTCAAAGTTATCCGAGAGAGAAATCAGTGACAAATGACCTGATCACATCAGAGTGCCACAGAGAATCATTTGGGCCTATGGTTTCTGTCCTGCAAGTGTAAGTCCAAAGACGATTTTCATATCCAGACGTGACACTAAGGCAGGCAGTGTGACCAAGATACATTTAAAACTGCAACATAGTCTGCTTTTAACTGCCATGGTGATTCCCAATTTGATCAAGAGTTCTGCTGTCACACACTGATTAACCAACCTGACTGTGCCCACCGGTGCTGATGCAGCATGCTCGCAGTTTGTACAAAGTGCCTGGTTTCAAGTGGGTGAAGACATACTCCGTGGCAGACCCACTGTAGGCCACTTCCCACTGCCCAGCTGTAAAATGAGATGTGTGTAAGTTTAAGCCTGTTGTAATAGCAATGATCCCGTTAGACACAGTATCTGAGACCCTACATGGCTTCCACAGAAGCCCAACATCACGTGACACTAATACATACATGATCAGTTTTTACGACCACTGTGACATTGCTGACTATAAGGTCAAGATGTGACGTGGGAATTGGCACAGGAGGAGGGTACAAAGACAGCACTGAGCAGCTGAGAAATGGCATGGTGAGGAGGCCATATGGCCAGCTATGCAGGTGCTGTCCACATGGCACAAGCTTCCAGAAAGTCTGGGTGCTGCTGAAGGTGGCATTCAGTCAAACTGTACCTTTACAGACCAAGAACTTTTGGTAAAGGCCTATTGTCTTCAAGAAGCCCACTTAGGAAGATGAGCCCGATGGTGAGAAATCGAAGGTGAAATGCTTGAGTGACTTATATGGTCCCAGTGCAGATGGAGTGGCTGAAGGGTGTCTCCCAGACTGATGCCCTTTGTGGAGAAGCACCTGGAAGCTATCCCATCACTACCTGCTCTAGCATCAGGCTTCTGGGGTATCTTCTCTCTGTTTTGTTTCCACTAGTGTGGTTTCCAGTTGACCACTCCACACAAGCCTTTTACTCCATGAGTTCTTTTAGGGAAGACATGCTCACACTATCCTATGGTGTTTTATAAAGCAACTTCTGCAAATCCCTTAGTTGCCTATCATGTTAGACTTTTATCCCTACCGGTGGTACTTGGCCTTATCAGGTCAGAGTTAGGATAAAGCTCCATGGGAACTTGGAATTGAGACAGCAGTGCTCCAATTATGGGGCAGACACCCTACACTGAGTGACAACTGGGATAATGACAAATGAAAAGATTCTATTAATTGCCCCCATGTATTGGCCAGCTGCCAATGTTAATAAAAAATAGCAGCCAGAGCCGGGCATTGGTGGTGCATGCCTTTAGTCCCAGCACTTGGGAGGCAGAGGCAGGTGAATCTCTGTGAGTTCGAGACCAGCCTGGTCTACAAGAGCTAGTTCCAGTACAGCCTCCAAAGCCACAGAGAAACCCTGTCTCAGAACCCCAGCGCCCCCCCCCCCAAAAAAAAGCAGCCACTCTTGCATTGACTCAGTACTTGAGGGAGCCAGGACAATGGAGACTCACACTTTCTCAATAAGCAATTGGTGGACAATGACTTCTCTCCCAGTCTCATGTAAACCCTGAGTAAGCGCCTTAGTGCACAAACTGATTTCATCTTCCCATCTCCAAGAATTCTAGTTTTAGATAACATAGTACTTGGCGGGCTTAAAACAATAACAACAACAACCCCAACTCCAGGTAAATGTGGTATACAGAACAAAAGCCAAGACAGTCACTTGTCCCCAGTGACTCAGGCTTCTGTTTTTTGTCACAGGATGGTTGCAGCAGCCTTATCGGTAAATTAGGTTGTATCTTTTACTATTGAAGCCCAATGAGTTATTAGAGAGAAAGGCAAGAGCATTTCTTGGGGCTCTTAAGATTTTCTTTTCTTACACAGTCCCACTTAAATTCTTCTTTCCTCTGTGTGTGGTAGGGTTGCATGCACACACCCATGCATGTCACAGCCCACATGGGGTGCTGCTCAGAGGACGACTCTGTGGAGTTGGTTCTTGATATCTATCTTTGTGTGGGTGCCAGGGATTGACCTCAGGTCACTGGACTTGTTGGCAAGCCCCAGGGCCTCATTTTAATCCTCGTAGTGAGACTACCGATGAGAACTCTAACTCCAGAGTCACAATGGAGGCCAGATGTTAGAAAGTCTGATGCCTATCACTGACCACACTATGACTCAGCTGTCGCTGGACATGGCAGGATGCCAGAGAGACTGCTCCTGAACCTCTGCCCACAATTTCCAGAAGTGTGGCAGGTTAGGGGAGAAAGCCCCAGGTTTATTTAGCCTGTGAGAGAAAGTATGGCAGGTTAGGGGAGAAAGTCTCGAAGTTTATGTACCCCATGGTTTCATAACTGACATAGAAAATAGAAAAAAAGAAAAGAAAAAACCTAACATGTCAAAAATAGGCACTTCAAGCAGAATGAACTGGGGTGTCTGAAAGAGGAAACTGTACTCAGGGTACAGTTTGGTGCAGAGGGCTTGTTGAGGGTGCTTGAAAGAAAACAAAACAAAACAAAACAAAACTCAAGATCAAACCCTAGAGGGAAGGAGGGAGGGAAGCAGGGAGGGGAGATAACAGACAGACAGGCAGACAGGTAGGCAGATATGTCAATGCTTGGCATGGCTTGACTTTATCATTAGAACTAATGGCGGCCTGCTGCTGCGACCATAAAGGGTCTAACCACATCAGGATAAGAACTCAGGGGTGTGAATGCATTGTATAAAAGTTTCCAATGTCACCTTCAGAAGTTCCATCTGTGATCTCCAGCAGGTACTTAAGGATTTCGGAGCCACCACTGTCCTTTGGAGCATCTGGAGAGTAGGCAAATGTTTGTGAGGAGAGCACAGAGAACAAATGAATTTACTATTACATGGCCTTCAGTCTGGACTGGACTAAAAGGCATAATTCATTATCTTCATGACCCTTGCCCCTTTAATTTTTTTTTTTCTTGAGACATCATCTCATACTTTAGGCTGGCCTCAAAGTTTTTGGCAATTTTCATGCCTTAGCACTCCATCCCGGTACTGAGATTATAGGTATGAGTGTGTGTCTCCCCCTCCCGCACTGACTCCTTGGTGTCAAGAAACTGTGAATTTTATCAGGCTTCTATTTAAGGTTGTTGAAATGCAGAATGGAATGTAAGAGTTAGTATTTATTTAGAGAAACATGCACAAAACTTGACAAGTGGAATGATTTCCATAAAAATGACTTTACTCTGGAGAATTCTGAAGTGGTTCTTTAAGAATTGGTATTTTTATGCAAAGCTGAAATGTTCAGATTTTTATTTTGTTTTATTATTTTTACTTCATATATATGAAGCAACTAGACTTTTGAAAAATGAGAAGGGGAGAGAAAAGAAAAATGCATTTACAAATAAATAAAATGTTGGAATGGAATAAATTCACTCCATCACACCCTCTACCAAGTGAACTTCATGTTGGCACTCAGGGAACCAGCCCCAGTCCCAGAGCTTTGATCAGCATGTGCCCCCAGGCAGCGTGGGAGGAGGGCTCTGTCAGTCACCAGAGCCCCCAAGTTACTCCACATAAATGGCCACAAATGCTGCCTGCAAGGGATTTTTTTTTTCTCTGAGTAAAAAATTGCAAGACAGAATAACTTTGCCAAACTGTGAAGAACTCATGTCTGACAGCAGCCTGCCACCTCTACATGCTTGGTCACAGGGGAGACTTTCTAAGGTCTTGACTTTTCTCACATGCCTTGAGGAAGCTCACTTTCCCAGATCTTTGCATCACACATACTTCCATATTAACACTGACAACAGTGACGATTAGGACAAACCCAGCATAGAGCTGAGGAGAACCAGGGAGAGTTCAGGGGAACAGGAACACAGGAGGAAGGACCCACAAAGCCCAGAGTTCTTTCTCTTAACCAGACTTGTCCTCCATAATTCTTTGATAATTCAAGACAGCACGCTTGAGTGTAGTAGTCTTAGCGATGGTCTATGCTTCAAACTGCACCCCACATATGGTCCCTTTAGAACTCTCAATTTTTCTGTTTTGCCTTTCACTTGCTATTTATACATATTCTTATGTGACATTAGTATAAGGCACATATGTCTTAACCGCTTTACATGTAATCACAAATGTTATAGCCATGCAGTAATATGCATGTCCCTGAAATGATCCCCGCTGCAGAGATGAACGTCAATGTCAATGTCCTCCCAGGTTATCTCAGCCCCAAGTGAGAAACAGCCCGAAGTCAGGGTGGTGGCTTCACAACAAGCAACACAAACCAAAATTTTCCCTATTTTATTGCAACTTAAACACTATATGTTAAAAAATTACGTATCTAAATTTGAAATCCAATCTCTGTATTAATTAAAAATAGTTTTCTACTAAATTTTTTAAGGTGAGTCACTACAGGATGAATTATCTAATCATGGATTCTCAGACTCAAATCAACAATTCATCTCAAAAGGAGGAAAAATGTAATATAAGAAAATTATAGAATGAGTGAGATACTGTTAAAATTGTTCATTTAAGTAGTCCACGAAAGTCTGGCCAAACATTAAAATCCTATTGACTCCTCCAGACCTCAGGATGCTTCCCACACATGCATAACAAACACATGACACCCTCACACTCGATATTGTATGTTTGTGTCTGACATGTCTCCACTGAAATGAAAACAGGTCAAAAAGGAACAGCAGTAGCCGTGGCAAAGACGTACCCCACTTGACGCTGAAGCCATGAGATGTAACCGGCCCTTTAATGAGGGGTCTGGTCGGAGGTCCAGGTCTGTCAGGACTGGTTGTACAAACCAGGACTTCACTGGGGCAGCTCCTCCCTTCCATGTTAGAAGCAGTCAGCTGGACAGGACCAAGAGAAGAACAGCACATGTAAGTTACAGGCTACGGTTAAGTCGATAGTGACTGTAGCACCGCAAAGTCAGATGTGGAGGCTGATGCAGAGCCACCCTCATGTCACGGTGCTTTCTTTCTTCAGACTGTCCATCTAAGTGTTTGTGATCACTTCTGCTTATATTTGGTAACTAACAATGAAACTCAAACTATAAGGCAGGTGTTAGCTAAGGATATTTGTATATCCTTACAAGAGGAAATATAAGCCTGGGGTAATGGTACATGCCTGTGATCCTAGCACATGGCAGGCTGAGTGAGGCAAGGTAGCTGTTTGAAACCATTCTAGGTTATGCAGCAAGTTTTAGTCTATCCTGGAATACAGATCAAGGTCATGTTTCAATAAAGGAGGAGGGAGAGGAGGCTGCAGTGGTAGCATGTATAAAATCAGTATGTTCCCACCCATTCTGTGCTGTTTGACGAAAAGAAAACATGGATAAACCAGACCAAAAAAAAAAAAAACCAAAAAAAACCAAAAAACTTTACTATGGAAGAGTCAGACAGTGCCACCTGGTGGAGAATGTCAGTAATACAGCTATGTTCTGGGAGCCAACACTGGTATTTTTAGCATACCAAAAACAATTATATTCCTCAAATAGTCAGTCACAACATTCCACTTGATAATTTGACAAATACTAGAGTGACTACATGCCAAATTAAATTACTTAGCCCTAAAATTAGAGAAGCGAGGGCGGAGAATCCTCACGGCATAGGAGGAAATGGGGTGCCATGCACAGAATCAACAGAAGATGCCGTAGGCTACAAGGAATCATTGCATGAGCCATGCAAAGCAGCGTTCACGTCTGTAGCCATGACACAGATCCCCACTGAACCTTTAGTTAGCAGTGGTTGTTTATAAGCCAGTGTTTCTCAACCTGTGGGTGGAAAGAACTTTTCACAGGGGTTGCCTATCAGACACCCTGCATATCAGACATTCGCATTACGATTCCTAACAGTTATGGAGTAGCAATGAAATAACTTTATGGTTGTGGGTCACCACCAGATGAGGAACTGTATTAAAGGGTCGCAGCATTAGGTAGGTGGAGAACCACTGGCCTAAGCTGAGGCAGGGATTGGGGTATAGGAGAGAAAAATAAAAACAGGCAAGGGAAGAGCAGAGGGCATCTGAAAGCCAGAGTGTGGTGATGACAAGCAGCTCAGGGAAGGAGTGGATCGTCAGTGAGTGCAGGGACACACAGCGCCGGGTTAGCACCTGCCCTCACTGTAACAGCATCTTCTTGGACGGCTTTCTGTCTAGAAACTAGATTTTCAACTGAAGGTACGGTGGTGCTTGAAAGTGTGCGCGCTCCTTTGAAGGCGCCATCCATTTGAGCACTGTTTTGGCCTGCAGACTCCACTTGAAGCGTAACTGGAGAGACACTAACATGGCAGTGTGAGCACTGAGGCCTTGAGACTTACCCTGAATTTGTACTGTGTGCTTCTTTTGAGATTTTTCACCGTACAGGTTAGATCTTCTCCACTGTACTTGGGGTGGAAATGGCTATCCTGAAAAGGCAAAGCCAGACGGAGACATCATCATATCATATCATATCATATCATATCATATCATATCATATCATACAGGTCTCAAATTCCGAAGGACCCAGGGCCTTTTACTGTAGCTTCCACCTGGGAGCCTGGAGGCTGGCAGTCATTGAGAAGTGAGTATCAGGGGCCCATGGTGCCGTGGACAGCTTTCTAGCTTCTAGCCTCAAATTCAGGTCTCATTTGTCACACTGTAGTGTAGCCTGGCTCTGGCCACCTGTATTATGATTATGACAAAGCAGTAAGCACTTTAAACGTTGCTATTTAACGATTAATTTGTCAAGAGAAAAGCCTGTTGGTTGGGAGGCTGACACTCCAACGGGGCTGTGCAATAGCAGCAGGTAGGCAAGGTTCCTGAGTTCACAGTGCCCTCTTCTGGTGAAGAGAGGAAGCACAGCTTGGATGGCCAAGGACATCCCTTAGTGCTGTAGAGGAATACACTCAATTCATTCCAGAGTGTTCCTGTGTTCCCCATTCTCCCTCTTTTCCTCCCCCCTCCATCCTATTCTCCCTTTTCCCTCCCTCCCTCTGTGCATCAGGCTCCCTTTAGGCTCAAGAGATCAGCCCTGATAAAGGCATACAGAGCCTGGTCTATCCACAAGATGCTTACGTGTCAGCTGAAGAAGGCAATCAGAAAAAGAAAACTCTACACACACAGAAGGCATGCCATGTGGTGTTGTGGGCTATGAAGGCAAGTGGCTGGCTGGTGGAGCTCCTGAGATGTTGTCATAGCGACATGGGTTGAAGTACAGTAGCCACATGTGGCTCTTAGAATTCAAACTTAACACAATTAAAAACTCTGCTCCTTCAGTCAGCAGCCATATTTCAAATGCTCACAACCACATGTCCCACATAAACTATGGGCCCTCTGCAGAGAGCTCTACATGACAGAGATGTTCTAGAGTGGTCAGGCAAGGACTATCCTAGTAGGATATTTGTTGAGATGTAAGACACCCAAAGAAAACCAGGAAAGTGAGAAAGGTATGTTCAAGGAGCCAGCTCACAGGGACACAGGAAATGCAAGACCACAAGGCCAGGGCACAGCGGTATAAGGGGCAAGGACGGTGACAAAACCCAAACATATAGGGCCAGTTGGGGGTGGGTATTAGGAGAGCTGTGGCCCCTCTGCAAGAGGTTGTCTAGGTGGCATGGGCTCTGTGACAGTGGTCATAGAACATAGGGGTAGTGTGGGCACACAGTTGAAGGGCCACTGCAGTCCTTCAAGGCAAGGGGAAGGCTGTGCCTTGTAGGCTTTCTTAGCTGTGGACATTTGTTAGGTTTCTGGGTCATTTTGAAGGACAATTTAAAAAGGTTTGCTGGTTGATTATATCTGGGGTTACTGGATGGCTCCAGCCAAAAGGTCCAGCAGCCCACAGCTTGATGTGCACTGCAATGATGGCAGTAGTAGAAACCAACAGTGTCCTTGAATTTGGGTAGTAAGGTGTAGAGTCTGCAAGACCCACGTTTTCATCTTCCTGAATGTCCAGGGTGTAGGTTATCACTTCCTCAGGCGAGCAGCCTTCGGGCCTGGTCCACTGCAGTGTGATCCAGGTGACACCAGCTCGGACGAGCCTGGGTGCTGAAGGCATCTGTGGGATGTTCCCCAGAGTGTAGCACACGACCTCCTGGCTGTAGCCACTGCAGAGAGATGAACACAGGCGACAACTGAGAGCTGTGTTGGGAGCCCTGGCATTTTTCAAGAAGGGAGGGTATGCCTCTACCCAGCCCCACTGGCATGTGGTGGGAAAGGATTTTGTACACAGGACATTTCCACCACAGCTTTCTATTGTCCTAGTGTGCCTCTATAGCCTGCATTTGACAAGCACTTCAGTTGTAAGAAAACAGGCTCATGATTTTATTTCCCTCAAAAAGCATAGCATTTTTTTCAAGGTTTAAGAGTAGCGGCTACCAAGAGACTTGAGATGAATGTGTGTACAAATAAGTCACGTTGCTGAAGGAAGATGAGTTTTACAGTTTTCCAAGCCTGTGGTGCTTCTAATTCATTTAGAGATTATGAACCACTGAAACCTGTATCATTCCAACTTTTCCAGCTTAAGCTATACTGCTTTCTAGGCACTGGGAGCAGTTCTAAAACGTTGTGATGTTACTGAGGCTTCTCCAGGCTAGGGCCGCCAAGTGCTTAGCCTCAAAGATTCAGTCATGAAATGAGATTTGTTTCCCTTGATCAAGAGTTATCCAGCAAGAACAGACAGGGCCTTTGTTCAAAGCCTCTTAGTCAATGGGCTCCTTGGTTAGGTCCCCTTCTTCCTTTCCTCCTGAAGACGAGGCAGCCTGGTTTTCCCTGATTCTATAACTTGATGATAATGGCCACTCAGCAGTACTTTGTATCAGCAACAGTCACACAAATGAAAAGGAAAGACCTGGAGGACAGGTGCATTAAAAGTGATACGGAACAAGGAATAGGTCCTGGGGATGGGGTGGGAATGCTCAAGAGGAAGGCTTCCTTTACAAAGCTCAAATGCCACCTTCCTCTTGGTCCCCAGGAGGGACCTCTAGGGGGGCTGAGTAAGGCCAGAGTGCTCTGTCACCTCAGAGTCCTTCTTCCTCCTTAGAACTTCCTCTCAGAGTTGCTCAGTGTGAAGGAGGCATCCTTAAACCTTCAGGGAATGAGGGAGACAGCCAGAATCATGCCTTGAAGGCTGAAAGGCTGGAAGAGGAGGAGGTGCCATACCTGGTGCCGATGTCATTCCGAGCAGCAAGCCTGAACGTGTAGCCCATGGCGGGACAGAGTTTTGTCATCTTACAGTGCTTCTGGTTCCCGAAGAAACACTGTCTGAAGCCACTGTTCCTCTTTCCCTGGAAGGACACAGAGATGAGGCTGGCATTATTATCTAGCAGAAAGGCATCCAGCACATTGCACTCTTAGTTTTCCTGTTTATTATCAGTAGACTTGTCTATCCATTCATTTAAAAACTTTAAAATTATTATACAAATGAAAGGGGATTTGCTGTGACACTTCCAAATAGATGCAATTAAAAAAACAAATTACTATAAGAAAATAAAATATTTTAAACAGTTGCTGAAATTTCTAGTTTGAAGGAACTAATACCACAAGAAGGCACCTATGGAGGGACCCACATTGAACCTAAGGCATCCCACAGGGAAGCCTTGCCCCAAACACAAAAGCCACACAGGTCTGCCACCAAGGCCCAGAGCTCTTTGGACTTGCATTTCTAACAAGGTTTTAGTTAACAGTACCAGAAGGCCCTTTCTGACACAGGACAATGTGGCAGTTAAGGACCACACTGCTAAGATCTGGGTTGATGGTCATGGCCAGTTAAGCATGTGAGTTTCTGACAGAGCCAAGGATCACCACTTTGGAAGTGGCCTGGCCTTTCTCACGAGTCCTCACACACCCCCAAGGACCTGTTCCTGCAGCTGAACATCAGGCAAGTGTTTCTTATCACTTCTGTCATGGTGGCGCAAAACCCCTTGACACACACATTACAATGACAGTGAGCTGTTCGTTTATGGATCCCTAAATACTGGTCATAAGCCTTTGAATCATCCTGTCCACATTTGTTTTCTTCCCAAAAGAGTTCAGCCACTGCATATGGACTTGAACTTTAATGTCTGAGAAGCCTTGGATCACTGGTTGAAATCCTATATACACCCCAGCCACCCACCCTTCACTGCATTCATTCTAAGTTTCTTATGAATATGTTTCAAGTTTGCTGGAATACATTGCTCGCTGGTTAGAGGCCCTAGACTGTCATGGCCTGGCAGCTTTCTCTAAGCTAGGCAATATGGAAACTCCCTCCCTCCCCAGCAGGGCTTCCTGCTCTCTACCTGCCCTTATCTGGAGAATATCCCTGGGCCTGGAGGACTGACCTTATCTGAAAGCTGTCTCTAAACCAGATGCCTGATTCATCTTTAGCTTGACCCTTGGCACAGATTCCTGCTAAGATTTAGACTGGGGCTCTGCTATAGGACCCTACTGCCGCATAGCAAGCATTGTCCTGAGTGTCTGTCTCTAAACCAGATGCCTGATTCATCTTTAGCTTGACCCTTGGCACAGATTCCTGCTAAGATTTAGACTGGGGCTCTGCTATAGGACCCTACTGCCGCATAGCAAGCATTGTCCTGAGTGTTCCACTTAATGCAAATTAGGGTTTGTCCCCAGGCTCTCCAATACTATATAGTCCTTTATACTCTGGAATAAAATTGAGCTGATTCACCAAACTCTGATCCTGGAGGGCTGTCTCCTTTCGTGCTCATCGGCCATGTACAAAGCTTTCTGTTGCTCCATCTGCCTCTTTCCCCTCTCAGATTGATAGCTGATAGGCCAAGGGGGAAAGAGGACCCCCACACAAGTTCTTTCATGAAAAAAGCAAAACATGTAGGGTATCATCTGTCTTCTGTCCTGGGAACTGAACCCAGGTTCTCATACACGACAGGCAAATATTTATCATACTCACTCCCAATCTCCTTACTCCATTTTATTCTAAGACAGTGTTTCCACAGTTCCTCCAGCTGGCCTTGAATTTGTGACCCTTCCTCACTACTAGGCTGAGTCCTCCTGAGGGGGGGTCATAGTGCCACATTTAAGGAAAAGGATCATTTAAACTGGGCCATGTCTGGAGATACAGAAAATTCAAATAAACAGTTTTCTAGAACAGTATTTCTACCTATAATGCATACTGTTTTATCAATCAACCATGAAAACAGACAAGCAAACACACTAGTCTGGCATGGTAGGGTACACATGCAATCCCAAATACATGAGACAAATACAGGCAAAATGATCACCATAAATTTGGGACCAGCCGGGTTTACATATTGAGTCTGAGGTCAGCTGGGGCTACACCGTAAGTAAGACTCTGTTTCAAACAACACAAAACAAGCTTGAGTATTAACTAACAAACAAATCCACAGCAGAGCAAACATTCTCATCAAGTCTGCAGACTCCAGGAATATGTCTGGAACTCTTAAATTACTTCCTAAAGCACGAAGCTGGCAATTTTCTTCTAAGCCAATTTAAGCATCTCCGTTTGGGAAGCAGGCTCTGAGCACAAACTGTGAGGAAATATTCTAGGTGACATGTAATTAAAAAACAAACACACTAGAGTAGACAGACTAAACACAACAGTGTAAACCACACTGCTTATACCCCAATTGTCCATCTCTTCCAAGCAAGATGGCACCAGCTCTGACAGAAGCCCTGATGGTCCTAAGATTCAAAGTTCATTTTGTCAAGGATTCAAAATACATTCAAGTTCAACTATGGACAGGCAGAGGATAAAAAGGGGAGATTTTCCATCATGGACAGAGTGAAATCATTGTGCTAGCACACTGCAGAAGTACACCGTCACCTTGATTGCTGAAGCTGGTGCAGTAGATTTATTTACAGGAAGACTGTGTATGTGCCTATTTGCCTAACTCTGGCCAGTGTCTGATTACACCACATGAGCATCCTCGTGTGTGTATTCATTTTAGTAGTGACTGGATCTGCCTTTCTTCTGCCTCTACTTCTGAACTCAGAAAGGCACACCCTGCCAATGAAGCTGTTAATCCATTCCAAACCTTGGCTCCCCTTCATTGCCTCACTTTTCCTTTTCCATTACCCATTTCTGGTACTTAGAATGTCAGCCAGTAAATAAAAGTCAATTTGCTTTAATATGTAAAAGCCATACTGTCTATGACTTAAATAAGCAGGAATGCAGAGTTGTCAACAGCAGATGCTAGCATTCTCTTTTCAAAGGGGCGTGGCTGCAGTGTTCACTGGAGATCTGGGGATGGAAACATCCTACACCCTTTAAGACATCTCTCTGACTCTAAAGAGCAGAGCCTGACATCTTAAGACACAGTATCCAAACTATAGTATCCAAACTTTCCGTCTTATTTATTTTCCTTTTACATTATGTGTGTTGGGGGGGGGGAGGGGTTGTGTATGTGAGTGCAGTTCTTGTTAGGGCCAGAAGAGGGCATCGGATCTCCTGGGACTGGAGTTAAAGGCAGATGGGAGGCATCCAGTGTGGGGGCTGGGACTCAAACTCAAGTCTTGAGCAGTACATACTCTTTAACTGCTGAGCTGTCTCTCTCTAGCTGCCAAGCTTTCCTTTAATAACAACCCCGGAGATGTGCTATGATGCAGCTATAACTCAGGAATATGTAGGATGATTCAGAGTAGGTTGGACCTTGGAACTGAATTTTAGAAACAGTATTTGTTGAGTTTGAGCAGGTAATTAAGCTTCCAGGGTTAAAGAATCAAAGCTTGTCAGAAGTCCCCGAATATAAAGCAAATCCAAGAGCAGGCAGGCTATCAAAGTATTTCAGACAATAGACAAGTTTTGAATAAAAGAAAACATTCATGCATGGCAGGCTTCATATTAAAGAGGTATTGGGAAGAAAAGAAAAACGGCCGTTCACAAAAGCTATTGTTGTTCCAAAAGGGGCTACCAGGTAAGAGGTTAGGAAGTGGAGATGCAGCAATACATTGGCCTGGAGACCAAAAGAGACCAAATGCAGTGACACACACACACACACACACACACACACACACACACACACATCTAGCTAGTCTGTCCACCAGCCTGGCTTCAACCCAGTACATAAGAAGTGGGGTAAGCAGTGTTGAAAAGTGCAGTAGTAAAAAGAGAAACCAGCAAATACGATACATTAGTGAAAGACCTCCCCCTCCATAGTATACAGGAGGTTTGGGGAATGTTTATATGCCAAGTAGGATCCTGGGTTCATCTATAGATGAACCATTACTGTTTTCTGCTGGCAGCCATAGACAGGACAAAAAGACCAGCTAATACTTAAGACAAAAGACTGAAAGATTCCTGTGAATTGACAGGAAGGATAATAGGAATTCAATCTGTAAAAGCTGTTCCAGTCAGTGAAAGTTCACATGGTGCAGATCATGGCTTTCATGTTTAACAGGATTCTCAGTGAGAAGCTATGGCATGTTCTCTCTTCTCACAGAATCTATTGGAAGGAGGTGTTTAGGCTTGGACACCTCTTTCAGATGACTTTAGGGTTTAATTAAAATAGACATAGTTAGGATGTGACATGTATCTTTTTGTATTTCACCCTTATGATTGATAATTATGGATACTTTACACTGTTAAGTTTTAATCCTCTTTTAGACTAGAAGGGGAATTGTAGGGGATACCATAACCATGCCTGCTGGGGCTGGCTACAGGTGTACCTGGCAACACCCCCTAGGGCATAGGCAGGGTATGAGATAGAGAAACATTTAGAGAAACATCTCTAAACGTAAGAGATGTTTAAGAGTGAGGGGATGCACATGGTAGCCCCTTCTTTGTCCCTGCTTCATTGGCTTGCACTACTTACTATGTTTCTGCCAGCTACGTATTGATAATTTATCGTTATAGTACATAGGTTTGCCGAGCTGTGTTTCACCTAGAACACTTAGTTTCTCTCTCTCTCTCTCTCTCTCTCTCTCTCTCTCTCTCTCTCTTTCTCTCTCTCTCTCTCTCTGTGTGTGTGTGTGTGTGTGTGTGTGTGTGTGTGTGTGTGTGTGTGTGTGTGTACAGCTGCACATATGCGAATGTGAATACAGATCTAGAGGTCAATTTTGGGTGTTGATCCTTAGGCACTGTCTACCCCCCTTTAAAGACAGTTTCTCACTGGGCCTAGACCTCATTGACTTGTCTAGGCTCTCTGCCTCCTTACCCCTGGAGCTATGTATATCATGTTTTTAACGTGGTTTGGGGAGTTGAACTCAGGTCCTTATACTTGTATAGCAAGCATTTAACCTCCTTGGCCTAGGCAACTTTTCCCTCTGTAACTGAAGTCAACCACTGCAAAGTTCTCTGCTACAATGGTGT